CAGTGCCCTATAGATACCCCCCGTGCCCTATAGATTCCCCACACACCTCCCATAGCCCCCATAAACCCCCAATGTCCCCCTGACCCCTCAATACCTGGGACCCTCCATAGAACCCCCCATACATCCCCTATAGACTCTGTAGACCCTCTGCGCCCCATAGATACCTCCATGCCCTATAGATCCCTCATACACCCCCCATAACCTCCCAATGTCCCATAGGCCCCCCCATACTTGGAGGACCCTCCATAGATACCTCAGTGCCCCATAGACATCCCCGTGCCCTAGAGATCCTCCATACCCCCTCTATAGCCTCTGTAGACCCTCAGTGCCCCATAGACACCTCTGTACCCTATAGATCCTCCATACACCCCCCCAAGATCCGCGAATGTCCTGTGGACCCTCCAAATCCTGGAGGATCTTCCAYAGATACCTCAGTGCCCCATAGGCATCCCCGTGCCCTATAGATCCTCCTTACACTCTCTGTAGCCTCTGTAGACCCTCATTGTCCCATAAGTCCCCCCTTAGCACCCCCAGCATCCCATAGGTTTCCCTGGCACCCTATGGACCCTCCACAGCCTCCATAAGCCGCCAGTGCCCCATGGATTCCCTATAGATGCCCCAGAGCCCTATAGACCTCCCATAGATCTTCAGGGCCCCAGAGGTTCCTTGTAGACCCCTAGTGACCCATAGATTGTCCTCAGGGCCCTATAGATCCCATGAACCCTTCTATGCCCCATAGACTTTCCATAGGCCTCCCAGTACCCCATAGACCATTGTGGGGGCCCTATAGATCCCCTAGAGCCCCCCGTGACTCCCCTGTGCCCCATAGGTTCTCCCTARGTCCTCAGTGCCCTATAGATCCCTCCATAGACCTCACGGCCTCCATAGGCTCCGTGATGTCACCCCCATTGGTCTTGGTGTCACCCCCACAGCAGGGCCACCCCCAACAGTGTCACCCATGGAGATGGTTGTGGTGTCACCCCCCCACCCTGCCCACCATGGCAAGGCCACCCCATGCCCCCCCCCCAATGTCCCTCTTGTGTCCCCAGG